CACACACACACACACACACACACACACACACACACACACACATGTATATGCACATCACGGCCGCTTTTTTTTTTCTTACTTGTTAGCGATGAGCGCACCACACAGCACATATGTGCCGCAAGTATGGACAATATATCATCCCAGCATTGCAGAATGCATCAGTATGTTTGGTGATTCACTGCTTGCGGAATTGCACATTAATGGGTTTTTGTAGGGTGGAGTGAAAACTCACGAATGATGGGCGTGATCATTCTTGTTTTGCAGGCAACAGCTGGATGTGCAAGCTTGTTTGATGTTTGGTTGAAGGAGTCATTTCGATTTTGTAAGCATGTCTCAGATCTTGCCAAGCGGAATAAGGGTGGAAGACTTTTTCCAAGGGTGAGAACATATCTGGGCGATAATTGTCCCTCTTACCAAGTGCAGAGTGCTGGCTGTGTTTGGAGCTCATGCCACCCTTATCCTCCGCAGCATACACCTATGTGTTATATGCTTGGTAGTCCTGGTGTAATGAACCCAACTTCATAAGATCACAATCAAATCTCAGATGAACACACACTGCTAAAGTCAATGAACAGAAGCAAATTAAGACAGTAAAGAGATAAGACTATGCAAAGAAGGAGATCCAAAGTTATCTTAACTTCTTAAGAGTATTAAGAATGAATACAATGATCAGACTGCTGCTCCCTCTTCTTCCACGAGAATCCTCACCACCTCGATGCACCAAGTGTTCAGACTACTGCTCCGTCTTCTTCCACGGGAATCCTTCTCACCACCTCTATGCTCTCAATGGCTTTTATCTCTCCACTCCTTACCACCAGGCTGGACACAATGTGACTTGCTGGCATGAGGTGCCTCATCTTGACATATTCACCGAGGGACATTCTGATGCGTCTTCAGAGTCAGCCCTAGAACTTTGACCTGACCAAAGTTTACTACCCCTGGCCATGTCTGTGCGGATTTTATACCAGTTCTAGAGACTTGTGACACGAGAATGACCAATGCGAATGACAAAAGCAAATTGCAGCATTCCATAGAAATCCAGATAACTAGTGCATGAAAGCAGATTGCACCATGAGATACACCGAGCAAAGCACCAAAACCAATTGACAATGAAAGCGCTCTCCTCGCCTCCACATCAATGTCCATAATGTTGCTCTCCTGTATGGCACTCGGCGCCCAGACTACAATCAGACAACACCTCTCTGTTATGAACTTGGTTGTTTGACAATTTGATTGCCACTCACACACAGAAGAACTCACACACGCCCATACATGCATGAGACACAGGGGAGGAAGAGACAGAGTCCAACTGCACACAGACCAGAGATAAACAGCGGAAGAGCATTCATGCACAGATGGGGAGAATACACACAGTGTTCTCTCTCTCTGATGAACCCCCAACAAACAATCACAAGATGACTCTGCGAAGATCACAATTGGAAAGTAACCCAGATGATGAGCCAACTCAACACAGTTAACCTCAATTATCGTCACAGAGTTCAACCCAGTGTCTCGCCACTCAAGAACCACACACTCCACTCACTACCACACTCTCAGAGTCTAGCGCTGCACAGAAACAGCCTCCCAGAGGCCAGCGCCATACACCCAGATGCAGATCATGAACAGCGAAGTAGTCTCCAGTGCCGATGAGTCACTCTGACGATGAAGAAGGCAGCTATGGCTGCCTGGCTGCTACTGCAGCAATAGTACCCACATGTACTCAGTGAAGACCTCCGATATAGCCCTGTCAACACAGATATCCCCAGGGGATAGATACGCTGAGTACAGCCCCAGCTATGGCTGTCTCAGCAGCCTGGCTATGGCTGCTCCACTGCGCTGATGTCTCAGGTGCCGTTGATGGCATTCAGCGCTACACAACTTTGTTGGCCACGAACGCTGCACGCGAAAAATGAAAAGCCAAAAGTGCCCCTACCGGTTTCCTTCCTAGCCTTATAGATTTCTACACTAGCCTAGACCGAAACTGGACTGACTGGGCCTACCGGTACCGTTGCTGTTTTTCGGCCTCTCGGCCTCTACCGGACCCGGCTATAGGCTATAGGACCGTATACCAGTCTAGGCCACTTAGGGCCTGTCTGTCCTAGGGATAGCCCGGGCCTGCTATAGGCAGTTWGGGTAGTAATAGGGATTCGGTTAGTTTAGGGCCTGTAGTCCCTCAGAATTACAGGTCCGTCCCTCGCGAATTTCCCAACAGGCAAGTCACTCGGTTAGCCCTCAGCCAAACAAAATTGCGAATCTAACCCTACGGTTAATGTACAGCCTCGCAAACAAACTCAGCAGCAGAAATCAGCAAGTCATTGCATCTCTACCTAGACATCTATCCAACAACATGCCTTCATGAAGTACAGTAGCCCAATGACGAATGAAGACTCTGAAGAAGCAGCCTGGTCATCACCACCAGGTATGTGCCCCCTCACACACTGTCCACCACCTCTCTATCACACGCAGCCCGGCTATGGCCACTTTGTCCACGAGCTGCGCCCTGGCAGCTTCTTCCCCGTGCCCCGCCAGCGCCCTCACCACTCTGCCCGACTCTCGTCCAGCCAGCAAACGCTCCAGCAGCACTTGCGCTGTCCAGCCAGCCAGAATGAATGAGAGTGAGTGAACCTCACTCTCTTTTGTCCTGTCTGGCTGGGCGAGGCTCACCCAGCTACTGGAGGCTCGACCTCTGTCCCAGTAGCTGCTCCCAAGGCCCTTCCAGAATGTGCCGGGAATCAACTGTAAGTGCCTGGGGCCTCAACAGCTTTGCAGGGCCGAGCACGACCGGTTGGTTGAAGATGTTGCATGACCAATCAAACCTATGGGGTCCGGTTCTCGTTGATTGTCCACAGGGCCCGCCTTCACTTAGGGCGGGCGCGAACAGTTACAAGTGGGCACAGGCCCTTGACAGCGGGCACAGGCCCCTTTTTCACTTTGGCCGATGGCCTAATGCTTTTCACTCCCTCCTCCTCATTTTCGCAAGTCTTCTAAGTAAGCCTTCAATCCACTTGCTGCTTGCCTTTGATCATCCTTTCATAGCGGGATACGACTTCAGGGCCTGTCTTCATTAGCTCCTCCCTTGTGAACCACTATGTGTCTTGGGATCCGTGTGATGCCTGAATCTGACCCGAAACTGCATCTGGGGTTTCGGCGGTCTTCCTCTGCCAACAGGCTTAGGTACAAGCATTAATTTGTGCTTCACTATCCCGTCGATGGCGAGGTATCCATCCATGGTTGGAGACAGCATCAACCTCCTTGAAGGAAACTCGTCAGTTTCTGTGAAAGGAAGGGGTTTGGAGGTTTGAAAGACTGGGTAAGTACGTAGGTGTGGTGGTACACGGATAATGTATGATGGGCCATATGGGTCTAAATCCCACGATGTCTAGGACTTGCCATGGCCCAAAATACTTCGCCATTAGCTTGCGAGAGATGTCTGCTTCCTTCATAACCTCCGAAGACCTAACCCAGACCCGTTCCCCTACCTGAAACGTTGACTCTCTTTTGCGTTTGTTCTCAGATGCAATCATGGCATTCCGAGATTTCTGAATCTGTTCAAGGAATCAACGGTCTGCTCCAGCATTTTGTCATATTCTACCCCAAACTCAATACTTCCCGGTGCAGCAGTCGGTCTTGTATCAGGGAGTAGGAGATCTAACAGTGTCCTAGGCTTCCAACCAAGGTGCAGCCAATTAGGCGTCCGACCGGTATTATTATGTACTGTGTTGTTGTACGGCCTGGTGATGAGAGGAAGTTTCTTATTCCAATATTCTTGGCTGGGCTTTATCTATTGCCTCAGCAGGTGCTGTACAACCCAGTTCATCTGCTCAGCCTTCCCGTTACCCCCTGGGTGGTTCCCAGATGTCACCTGTAACTGAGAACCCATCTGCTCTGCAGTCTTTCATAAATCGCTGGTAAACCTGACATCGATTCATGTGCAACTGGGAACCTATTTGCTCTGCAGTCTTTCTCCATAAATCACTGGTAAATTTGACATCTGTGTTGCTGACTATAGACTTTGGCAGGCCAAAGTCTCTTACCCAGTGTTCCATGAACACCTTTGTGACTATATCTATCTTCATGGTCTCGGGCAGTGCAGCTAACCTAGCATATCTGGAAAACATATCCACAATTAGAAATATGTGCCTCTTTTCAAATTTGCTGGTGATGAGAGTATCCATGAAGTCCATGGAGAGACTCACTCTTGGTCCTACAGGAATAGGCAAAGTCTTGATAAGCCCTAGAGGAGCTTAAGGCCTAGGTTTGTCTCTTTGACAAACCTGTAAGTTTCAACGTACTTCTTAGTGTCCTTTAGCATCGTAGGCCACCAAGATCGTTTTAGTGAGCCTTTTTGTAGCCAAAGTGAACTGTCTCCTTATGACACTGTCCTAAAGATAAACTATGCCAAGACTTGTTAGTCAGGACACACAACCTTTTGAAAGGATTCACACTGCAGACACCCCAGTCCCGGTCCCAGGGTCCCGAAGTGTCCCAGTCCCAGGCTGTCCCAGTAGGATAGGCCGTAGGGTCCCTAGGTTGACGCGCCGTTGGTTGGTAGGTGTCGGTACTGAACAGGTCGGTAAAAGTCAGTCCATTACCCGTCGAGAAAAGTCCAGTCCAGTCCAGCAGTCCCAAGTCCAATTTTGCAGCATGTCCCAGGAAAGTCCGGAAGCTACCGGACCCACAAATGTTTGCAGCAGACAGTCTGGAGCCGACCGGTATCAGTCTGAAGCAGGCCAAGCCAAGTCCAGTCCTATATTTAGCTGCTACAGTGCAGCGGCTCATCACTTGTTCATTTTGCAGAAGCGCTGCTGCTGCTTGTGCATTAAGGCAACTTGGGCACTTCACGCCAGGAGGAAGCAGAGGGCGCTCAAGAGTTACTCTTAGGGTAGAGGGAGATAGGGAGCAGGGCGGCCATAGCCGCCACGTGTGAAGCTTACCTGAGTGAGTGTATCCAGGGTTACAATCTAGGTTAGAGGCAGAGAGTGAGGCAGAGCGAGCCAAGTCAGAGAGAGAAGAGCGAGACTGACACACAAAGAGAGAGAGAGAGAGAGAGAGAGAGAGAGAGAGAGAGAGAGAAAGAGAGAGTGTTGCATACTGTAACGGTGCAGACCAGAACAAGAACCGACCTCTCTAACAAAGTACAAGATAGCGCAGCGGAAAACTTAGATACCAATGATCCGAACAATCAATATTGCA